TATGAAACACTTTACTGCTCTTTTAAAGCTGCTTTCTCCAAGGTAACATTACAGTAGGAAACAGAGAATGTTTGGATACACGTCTTTGGGTGATTTTTCCAAATGCTCAGGAAGTTGATATAAATTTTCTTTAAGGCTTGGCTGTCTTCCTTCTTTTGATTGAAGTTAATAATTGCAGACAATATTTCCAAAGAACTGTATGTGAAACTGATTCTAACTTGCTAGCAATGCAGAGAAGAGGAAAGATTTGAAAACTGAAATGTCATAAGATTTTATTTTTATTGGTGTGGCAAACTCTTTTTGAACTGATCGATGCCTTATCAAAGGTTTAAAGAGCATAGTGATAACAAGCTCATCACATAGACATTTTCAAGATGAATAAGTTATCACAACACTTTCTGCACTATCTCCACAATTCAGTTCACCAAGCTTTCCACATCTGAACATTTTGGAGAGGCTTCAAATGGTTTTCAAGGAGGGGAGTTTAAAATTCAGAGCATGCCACGACGAAGGGTAGGTTTTCTGCAGTGGTTTTGAGGTGACCAAGTAACCTACTGACTTGCATTATAGTACACAGTTCACGACATACTGTCCTCATGAATCACTGAAATTGCTCTTTCCAGTCATGCCCAAGGCTCTCCTCCTGCCTTCCTTCACACTGCTTTCTTTACCTCTCTCCAAGAGCCGCTTTTATCACCCTGACTCGCACAAGACACCAGCTAACAAATGCTTTCCAGCATTTGGGGAAAGGTGATTTCTCTTGTCGAAACTCACACACACCTTTTGAGGCAGTAGGAATCCTAAGAGCCTCCTGACAGCGGGATAAGAGTAATGCTGGGTTCATCATGTGCCTAGCGCCTCCAGTCCCCCCTTTTCCCCATATTGTTTGTTAGGGTTTTGTGCACTTCTCTTTGAATCATAAGATTTTGAGGGAAGGAGACTGGCTCTTACTGTGTGCTAATCTCCAGCCTAGCAGGGTGGGCCTGTGATCTTGGCGGTATCTGTGGCAGTGAGTGGCTAGGTGTTTGGGGATATTTTAAGGGATGATGTAGATACAAGTGCTGCACCAAATTCCCACATAACAGGGGACTGGAGAAGCAGGGGCCACTATAACACTCTCTGCTTCCTCTCCACTCCGATTTTCATTTAGCTCTTAATGAATGAGCCAGCATGGGGTTAAGGGTCCTAGTTCCTTTTCTGTAACGGGCTTCGAAAAAGGGTGAGATTTTTTGCCCTGAGGAATGTCCAAGATGAATGAACATGCCAAAGATTTACTTTGGGGTGATCCAGAGCAATGGGAATGGAAAAAGGCAGGTTTGGGTGAAACCACAGAAGAGGTTGAGAAGATGACTAGCAGGACGCATACACAAGCATGAAGAGGCCAGCACGTGAGGTCTTCTGGGGATGTGTGTGGGGAAGGATGTCTGGGCAGATACTACAGGCAGAGAACAGCCCTGCCTGCTGGCCACAAGATGCTTTGAGGGATGGAGGTGGTGTTGCCTTCAGGAGGCTCTGAGTTACAGCAGCAGTGGTGACCCATGGGCTCAAGCAGTTAGCACCTCTCTCTGTCTGGAGGGGGAGAACTTCGAGCTTCATTGAGGACTTGGACTAGAACTTAGACGAGGACTTTCTATCCAGACATCGCAGAGCACGCTGCAGGAATAGGCTGTCCCTGCTGTCAACTCAGTTTTGCAGAGGAGAGGCCAAACTGGAGCACAGCTGTGTCATTTTCTAAGGGCCAGCAGCAGTACAAAAGCAGAGACCTGGTCTCCTCCCTCTCATGTGCTGCTCCCTGAAGAGGTCTTCTTCTCTAGCAGAGCACAGAAGAAACTTAGAGAGAAACTGGTGGAGGCAGAATGGCTGAAGAAGTGATGCTGGAGTTGGAAAGAATTTCTGGGAGTGATGTTGGAGTTGAAATTTCTGGGGTTGTCTGTGCTCTCCGCTGGGTGGAGAATGGAGGGCGCAGCCACACATGGTGCTGGAGGTCAGGCCCTGACACCCCACCTGGCTGGGCTGGGAGCAAACTGAGCTCAGCACGCTGCTTTAGCTTCCCAGCAGCATCCCTGAACCGATCCTGGTGTGGATGCTTTGCTCACACGCTGCAGGTGAGTGACCAGCAGGCAGATATACAGAAAGAGGAGATGTCAGATGGCTCGTGCACCTTAACCCAGGGCTCAAAGCAGTGCTTCAATGCAAAGTGCAGAGAACCATCTCCAAAGAGCCAAAGGAAACTGAGAATTTGAATGCACAGAATCGCTGCTCTAACATCCTCCCTTTTCCCTGTTCTTGGGCCCCCGCACACTTTCTTCAAGGGAGCGGACTTGCGGGCACCTCGGAGAGCATTTGCAAACATCCCCCCCTCCCCCTCGCCTTTCTTTTTATTGCCTCGCTTCTACCTGTAATGAAAAAAGGTCCCCGCTGTGGTCAGACTCTGTGTTGTTTGATTTCAGCACGGATCGCGGTGATGAGGGCTTACCGGCGGCCTTTTGTGTGTGTTTAACGCTGCAGCTGCCGGGGCGAGGGGAAAACTCAGCAGACTGAGCAAGACGGTCTAAATACTAATAAAGTCTAAGGGTGATTGGAAGGAGCGGGAATGGGAAAGCCCACAATCCAGGTAATTAAGCTGTAAAGCCCACAGGGGAAGGGCTGTCACCAAGTCATCTGATGTGGGATGAAGACCAAAGCACAGTGTGATTCTTTGTCTCTTAATCCCCTCCTCCGCTCCCCAGCACGTTCTTATTTCCCTATAAAGTCTTTATACGAAAGGTGGAAAAAAAATGATTAAAAAAAATCCTGAAGGATAAATCTTGTAATTCAGAGCACTGAACAGCTGGTAGTTTAAAGCACAGAACAGCAGTTTAGTGATTAATTTACCTCTTTAAAATGCTGAACAATACAACGCAATAAAATATAAAATTCCATTTTGTATGGCCTCCTTCAAACCCACCGTATCCTGGAGTGCCGTCTGAAGTTAAAGTGCAGCTACAGAGTTAAATAATCAGTAGCAGCAGAAGGGAGAGGCATAAAGAGAGATGTGCGAGCAATAGAAAGACCTGCTCTTCAGGAACCCCCCTCCAGCCCATTTAATTTTACTGAAAGAGAGTAGCCTTGGCGATATTTTTTTTTTTTTTTTTTTTTACATATTGATGGATTTTCGCCTCGCGTGCCCTTTCTCTCTCCTTCCATCTCGCACAAGCATCCCCGCGCTGCTCCTGCTGCTGCTGCTGCTGTTGACACTCCCTGGTGGCACCAGCGTGCAGCTGATACCGCCGCAGGCTTGCCGAGGCTGGAGAGCTGCCAGATCCCCACTCTGCCTCTCCCCTCGCCTCGTCATTAAGCATTACCTCCGGTGGAGGGTTTGCTCCCCGACCACCACCGGAGGAGGTGCTGCCCCATTTGTCCTGTTTCCACGTGCGACCCGCCGTGGATTCGCATCGGCGATTTGCGGCCTGTCTGGAGACACCGAGGGATGAAGTTCAGCCCTCCTGCAGAGATAGCTGTGACTGGCACGCCAGCGACAGGGAGCCCGTGTGCGTGCGTGCATGCGAGTGTGTGTGTGCGTACAGGAGAGAGAGATAAGAGAGGTGGAGGGGAAATCGGGCGGATAATGATTTGGGTTACGGGGAGAATTGCATTAGCGTGAGGCACACGTGGGCAAATTCATCCCCGGCGTAACATCGCCGAGCTCCCTGAGACAACATCAGGGATTCATTTTTGCCCACAAAAATCAGAAGCCAGCCTAGCCTCATTTGTCAAACACAGCGCAAAGCAGAGGCTTGGGGAGCCCCCTCTGGGGTGGGGGTGGAGGGTTCTGCATGTTTTGGGAACCCTTCGTGTCTGCAACATTCAGGTTTCCTGAAGTAATGTGCTGCTTGTCGATGTTTTTCTTCTTCCACTGGGTAATAATAAGGGAGTTAGTTAGCAGACAGATGCTAAACCCGCTCTTACTGCATTTAGCATTTCAGAATAATGAATAGATTTGCAAATGATGTTTCAAGGCTGCTTCTTTTTCAAACAATGACATCGCTAATGTTCCCAGCTCTTTTGACTTCGCGATTGTCTTCTTCAAACAGTGAAATATTACAATTAGCTTTCTGGGGAGGGCAGAGGGGAAATGTCGTTTTAAAGTAATTTCAAGAAATGTCTTTTAGAGGAAAGAGTACGTGCTGGTAAACAATCTGCCTGAACTCCCTGTCGAGTCACACCGTGCTTGTGGCACTGCTCTGTATTTACACCTGAGCAGCTTGGGAGCTGCCCTCCTGACTTTGGTGGAGCGATTCCTTCTCCAGTGGGCTTTTACCCAAGCGCCAGCGAGCCCAGGCTCTGGCCCTGACACCACAAAGCAAGGCTGCCAGCTTAACACACAACGTGGAATTTATCTGAACTCTTATGTATTCAGTGCAAAAAAATCTTGACAAATCTCATCCCGGGGTTTTGAAGGTCACCCTCCCCAGAGCCAAGCTGCAGCCGGCAGCTCAAAAGGCACCTTGTGCTTTTCAAAGCCTGACTGGTGCTTGCCGCTCCTGCTCTCGCTCCCTCTCTCCCCGCTAACCGATCTTTAATATGGATCTAATTCTGACTACATTGCAGCGCGGCGAAATCACATTAGGCAGCGCAAGGAGACTCGCAGCCCCTTCAAGCATGATAAACTTGTGATTGCTTCCCCGAAGCTCTAATGAGCCCGCGTGGGCTGGGCGTGATGGAGAGCTGCCGGGGCGGCTGGCAGCCCGGCTGCGTGCGCTGCAGAAGGGGCTGCACCACCTCCTCCTTCGGCTTGCTGTCTGCAAAGATGCTTGTAAATGCCTTGAGCATAACCCAAAGAGCAGGAGAGCGCAGCTTTCCCCTCCCGCACCTGTGGCTGGGTGGGCAGCAAGAGCAGTGCCAGCAGGGACCCTCGCCTCACCTTGCCTTGCCTTCCTTTTCCCTTCCTTTGCCTCTCTGTCTTGGGGAGCAGAGCTCAGGGCTTCGTGGCACTCGCGGGCAAGCCGGGCCGAAAGGTTGCTGCAGAGGTGGGATGGCTTTAATGATTGGTTGGCACAGAACGGCGCTTATCTCTTTAAGAAATGGAAATGAGGTCTAATTAGCATATACTGGTTGCAATTAGCATATAAGTCCCGTTCAGGGACTTGGAGGAAGGAAAAGGACCAAGCAGCAACTTAATGGGATTTTATTAGACAAAATTAGCCACCGCTGAACAGTCATAAAAATATCTAAATTATTAGTAGCTCGGCAATTTATCGTGAGTACTTCCTGGACATGCTAATATCTATTGGATCCGCACCGTGCCTGCTAATCACAAAAACAAACTGTGGGACAAGTATAATCTATCTGCTGTGTGTTGTTATGCTATTGCAGGCACGGTGTGACAGCTTTATACAAATATATGTGTGTGTGCGTGCGTGTGACTTGGTTTGAGGGGTACGTTTTGGCTAGCGCCTTATGAGTTATGTAAATAGGATACGTCCGAGCAGAAATGATGAACTGGTTGCTGGAGAAACAATCTCACCTGCAATATTGGGGGGAGAAGAGGGAGCTGAAACGTACAGCTGTTGTTGAGTCAGAATATAATGCAAAACCCCTATGGTCGTGGCAATCAGGTGCACTCAGAGTCCGAAAGAAAAGCCTTTCTGTGTAAGACGGTGTTCTCTAGAGACAAAAAGGATTCAAAAAAACACTCAGATGTATGTATTTTTAACAGAATCATGCTTTCCTTCATCCTCGCACAGGTTTAATGCTCTTTTTAATGAGCACAGACTACAATATCTGCTTTAGGTGGGGCCCAGTCTTTGTCTCTGTCTCTCAGTGTGATCAGCTGGGGTTGGATGCTATGGAGGTGATGTGGTGAAGAACCAACATTTTTAATTTATAGTGAGAGGTCAGGCAGGCTGACCCAAGGTGGGATCTAACAGAAAGTTTGCTGTGAAGATAGGAAAAATCCCAATGATAAGAATAATTATGTCTCTTGCCAAGCTCCTCGCTCGGTGTTTGAAGAAAGAAGTAGTTCCTGCGAGCCTCGTCTACTGAACCAAAGTGGGACTTCTGTGCTGGGTCCAGCAGAAACTTATCTAACTAGTAGGTGCGGGTGCTGTGGCACTGCGAGTGGGATGGCACCAAGGATTCTCCTCCTTAGCTTTTTATGAAGCAGTGTGGAAGTGTCCCAAACATCGCAAGGGGCAGCTTGAGTTCTTGATACATGTCCATGGCTGTGTTTACTGAAAGCAGGACCAAAGGACAACCAGGGAAACACAGTAATGCGCTCCTTAGGGGTCAGGTTCCTAGTGTTTATTTATAAGTGGTGCATTTTGTTACGTTATATATGTGCGTAACTCTATATAAAAGGTCAGGTTTGTCTTAGCTTGGCAGAAGAATTGTAGAGGCTAATTTAACATAAGATTAGAAAAAGAAAAAAATAAAACAGATAAAAGTAATCTTAAATGGTTGGTATAGCCCACCCTGCTGCCCATTTTGGAACAGGATTTTGAACAACTTCTACATTTCATCTGTTTGATATGTTCACAGCACGGTGAGTGTCTCTGAAATGTTGACTGTGGTGCCTGATGAGGAGCCCAATTTACATATTCTCAATTTAATCTAAAGTAGGTGCTAATTGATTACTGCTGAATGTCAGCACGCTCTGATTATCTGTTCAAGATGCTCTGGAAAAAGAAAAAAAATCTACAACCCGGAGCTGCAAGTACAAAGAGGGGGGTTGAATTCAGTACACCATGGAAAGACTGTTTACTCTTTTACCTGATATTACATAAAGGTTTTAATTATCCAGGCCAGAAGCTGTTGAGTGACTACTGCTTTGCCATGTCCTTCCACAGCAGGTGAGACGAATACAGGATTGTCCTTGCTTTCTGTCCTGGATGATTTTTTCTCAACTTAGACATCTTTTCTAGAGTTTTTTTCCCCATCTCTTCTCAACACTGTCCTGAACAGCTTCAGATTTTAAACCTGAATTTCCTTTCCCTGACTCTGAAGGCACAGTGTAAGGTTAGAGAAGGAAGGTTGACCTTACGTTCAATGTGCCGTGCTGGATTTCAGGAGTCTGTAGTTAATTCCAAAAAGCTGCCTGTAGTTAATTAGTTAATTCCAACCCTGCATTCAACTTGGGCAAATAGTAAATTAATTTTTTTTTGGGGGGGGGGAAGAAGATTTGGGCAAATCCCGTATCTTCTTTACGTCTCTGATTTCTCTTTCATGACTCAGCTGTCTTGTCTTTGTAGGTAGCAAGGAACATCTCCCACAATGCAGGTATATGAGGCTTATCATGAGGAAGCCTCAATATTTAGCTGGAAACACGTAGGCTGATGTAATAGGGCCAATCAGACAGTCCTGTACAGGTCTATTACAGCTTCCTGACCCTCCTACCTCATCTTGGGACTCCTCTCTTCCGCTGAGACCCGAGCTTTTAAAGATTGTTGTTTCTCTGGGTTTGGTGAGCTTTCTTAACTGGGCACCAAGCCCAGCTTTAATCTGTTTACATGCTTTGTAGCATGCCAGATTCTGTACCTGGAGGTAGGTATATATCTACTATTTAAATAAATACCTACACTCTGCATGTGCAATAAATCACCAAGAGCAAAAATAAATAATAATAATAAAAAACAGCTGACCTAGATGTAGTGAAGAAATGCTCTCTTACTGTTCTCTTTATTTATTTATTTATTTATTTTCATTTTTGTGGCTAGCTACAATTAAGTAGCAAATTGCTGTTTCTTTGGGTCATGGTAGGATTAATCAACAACACTCCAGCGAGGCCATTTTTTCCTGGCTCAGTGTTGGCATGTGGGGCTATTTCCCCAGTAGAAGTGCCTTCCAGTTTAAATCCTGTCATGCAGAAAGCTTTTTCTTCGTGCATGCTCTCCCCCTGTGGTTTCCACAGGAGCTCTGCCCTCCAGCTTTTCCAATTCAGCATTCACGGTATGAACTTGTGTGTTTGGGAAGCTGCCAGGGGATGGGGAGCTGAGGCAGCAGCCAGTGCCGTGTGGAAGTGTTGGGTTTTTTATTACTTCTGAGCAGTTAATCTCCATTAGATTGCCCAGCTCCTGTTATGCATCTCTGGTATGGATAAAGGGCTGGGTAGGAAATGCTGTCATTAGGAAATTTCCCTTTCTGTTCTGGCTGTTAAGGGCTGAATGCTTAAATGCTGTTTAGGTCTCTCACGTAGTGGCTCTAAAACTATTACGATTTTTTTTTTCCTTAATCCTGCAGTACTTCTGCCTCCTGCCATGCATGCATTTGTGATGTGCTTTGCCCTAACCCAAACACTTGTCTCTGCTTCCAGGTCTTACATCTCCCCTAGATGGAACAACCCAAATTGCTTAGAGCCTGGTGAAAGCACTGCTGCATCCCTAAGTCCAGCAAAGTCGGCTCTGATCCTGTCTGCAGCTGCCCCTAGCTCTCCCTCATAGCAGGTTTTTGCATCCTGTCTCTGCCTTACAACCCACTCCTGTTGGTGTCCCCAGCTCCTTGTCACACTGCCATACTTCCATGGTGCCCAGGTGTAGGTATGGGGACCTGCTTCCACCTTGCCCCTGGCCAAGCCATCGGGGCTGTTTTTTCCCCAGGGACATGAGGCACAGATGTGCCTGGGATGGTGTTGTTCCTGTCCCTGCTCAGCTCGAGTCATCAGGAGAAGATGAGCCATTCCTCACCAGGAGGGACACCTCCACCAGGTCGCAGCCTTTGGTCCTGCTCTCCCGTTGTGCTCAGAAGCACAAACCCCGTGGCTGATGGAGCTGGGAGAGCAGGGAGAAGAGCAGAGCTGAGGGCTCGGTAGTGACTCTCCCCTACTCTCCCCATCCTCATCTCCATGCCTGCTCCCCTGGGTGACCTGCCTGAGTCTGGAGACTGCATCTTTGGAGGGACCCCAGAGAAGGAAGCCCGTAGCCCTGGGCACAGAATGGCTCCGTGGGCTGGGGAAAGCCCCATGCCTCCTCTGTGCTCCCAGCCATGAGGAGTTTGCTGCGAGGGTACGTACCCTCTTCCTAAAGCCATTTTCCTACCTTCTTTCTGGACCTTATTCCCCTTTAGCAGGGACATCTCAACAGGCCCTGTGCAGCATCCTGTGTCCTCCCTTTGTCTCGGCAAGGTGATGTCTCCACGTGCTGCCACACCTCACTTTTCATTTGTCCCCTTTCTTTCCATCCCTTTTCTCTCCCCTTCTCTCTCTTTTGCCTCTTTCATGCCCTTCTCCCAGCCTCCTTAACCCCCTGATGACTTCTCCTGTCTCCCTGCCACATTCCCTCTCTTCCCCCATGTCCAGCATCCCCTGTACCTTCTCTTGTGTTTGGACCCCTTTGTTCCTACAGTTGTCTGTCAGTGAGGCCTTCATTTTGAAAGCAAATCAAAGGCAGTCTGTTGTGAGAAGATGGAGAAGTGGCGAAATTACTGGCAATAAGAGGAAACCGAGATTAGAAAAAAGCATTTATTTTTTTCTCTCTCTCTTTTCCTTTTTCTGGTTGTGCCAGAGAAATACGCTGTGTAGATTTTTCTTTTCTCATCGTAGGGAAGACCCGTTCCTGTTTTATCACAGGGAAAAACAATTCAGTAAAAATGGGAGCATGCCATATATCGCGATTGTAAAATGCTGCATTAGAAGAATTAGTACAAATTTCAATGCCTAGGTGATGATTTCAACAAAATACCAGGCAGAAATTGCTGGAAAGCGTAATTAATAATTAGTTATTATCCTATAACCATCACAATAATTAATGTGCAGTGTTCTGCTTCACCATTTTTTTTTTTTATAAAAAATATTTGATTATTTCTGCCTTCACGGTGTGAATTTCAGGTGGTGAAAATGAGTTGCTTTGCACCGGTAGATCTACTGAATATGCAATGAACAATCCCGCAGCAGCCAGGAGCCCCAGCCAAGACGGAAGATGAGACGGTGAGCTGGGAAACAAAGGTGAAGGGGAGAGGCAATGAAAGCACAGCGCTCCGTACAATAGCTAAAATACAAATCTCCGGGGACTTCGAGATATTGCATGAACATCAATTTCGCATGCCTATTGTCTGAGTGGTATTAGTGTGTGTAGGACTCCCCGCCCCCGTCTCTCCGAGCGAGGGGAGCATCGTGGCAGATCAGGAAATGGCGTAATTGAATCAGCTCCACCACACGACGAGGTTGCAGACCAGACGGGACGAGGCACTGAAATGGCCAGGTATCACGAGCACCTTGGCATCCCCCCACCCCTAAATTACTTCTGCGAGTAAAGGATGCGGGATGTAAACTGCAGCGGGAGACAGTCTGGTCGTGGGTTTCATTAGTGGTCCCTTTTGCCATCTGTGAGACTTCATGGCTAAGGAGCCGGATGAAAGAGCTTTCTAGAAAATTCTTCAGAGGAAATACAGCTCAAAAATGCGAGTCATGCTTAGGCTGTTTATGGAGAGTTTATTTTGTGCTTAGGAGTAAAACAAAATGCCAGTCGCTCACAGCTGTTGGCACGGTGAGATAACACAAGTCAGAGCACACAGCCGCAGGTTGGAGGGGTACTCTTCCCATCCCTCGCTCCCCTTTCGCCCCGACATAAAAGTTGACAATTAGTTTTTACTGCACATACATGAAGGGAGATACATGCTTTGGCCTCTGTGTGAGAGCAATAATTCTCTTAAATTGATGTGTCAGCGAACTAAAACTCAATATTTTTTTCGCACAGTGTATTTTGCAGTCAGAGGACCTTCACTAATCGGAATAAAGCAATTTGGCTCCCTGTCATTGCTCACTGAAAACATATGAGCTGGTTGGCACGTATGGCCTCCCAGATTTATCAGTGTCTCCCATCTAGTGCATGGGAGGTTCAGGGCTGCAGCTCAGAGAGGAGTGAATTTTTATGAATGCTTTTTTCCCCTCCCTGAGAATTCCCAGAGCTAGATTTATTCCTCAGTTTCAGAAATGTTTTATTTATTGTCCGTATCCCATATCCTCTTTAGGTCAAATCGAAGTCATATTTTACATTTTTGATTTGTATTGCTATGTCTTTATTGCTTTGCTCATTTAAAAAGAAAAAAAAAAAAAAAAAAAAAACACAGCCCCAAATCTGGGAGAAGTACTATTCCCATGGCTCTCCTTTTCTTTAGTACCACGATATGAACACACTCAGCTGTCCTTTCAGTGGGACCCTCATAAAAATGTCTTGCTGCATCTTCCATCAGGTTCACCAAGGGCCAGCTTTGGTGCCGTGTCTTTGTCACACTGCCTTTGAGGAAGCCCTCACCTTGCTCCCAGCTGTCCTGGTGCAGCTTACAGCAGTGCTCTGCCAGGACAGGTGGGATACCCGTGTTTTAACAACCAGCCTGTGCAGCCTGATGGCACCAAAATGTGCCCTTTTCCTCACCCTCCCTGGCCATGTACGCCGCCTGGCACAGGGCTGGGACCTGTACCATTGGCACCATCGCAGTGATGATCCTGTGTCCATGGTGATGGCACCCAAGGCCTTGTTCTTGTCCTCTATAGGTGAGCTCAGTGTAGAGAGCTCAGGATTTGCCACAGATGGGTCCGAAAGCACAAGCAGTGCTCCAGAGGGAAACAGGAGGGAGAGGGGTCTGTCCTGTGCACCCCTTTCAGCCCTTCCCTGGAGGTGACCTGCTGGTCTCAGCAGCCAGCAGAGGACCTGCTATCCTTGGTTTCTCCAGCCTTTGTTCCCATCCAGCCTTGGCGTGTTGTGGAGGGAATGCTAAGAGGAGTGGTTAATAACCAGAGAAAAATGGCCCAAGCCTTTGGAAGTCCATTTATCCTTTTAATCACACTCTCTCTAACGAGCTATATTTTTCTTACTTATCATTTCCTTTGTTCGTGCCCATTACAGTGTTATTCACAATTTTAGCTCAAACAATACCTCTTAAATAAGAGGATAATATTAAGTGCATCAGCACAAGGAGGGGAAGCTGCTTTTAAAAACTGAAAGTACTGCTTGATTTCCACTTTCAAAGCATTTAATTTCACCTGGTCCACACTTTTAATATTTTCCAATAAAATAACTAGATGGGGGCACATTAAAATGGTCTCAGTTGAGCTGTTTTAATAAAAGGAGAAAGTTTAAAGAGCTCGGCCATGGATGAAAAGCTATTTAAAGCAAGCGGGTTGGATATTTCTGGCATGGATGCATGAGGTATCCGTCTCCACCTCTAATTAAAAGGTCTATATTGTTCAGCTCTACATGACAGACATATTGAAGACCCAGGAGACTGCCATGTTGTCCTGTGTTGCTTCCCATTCTTGTAGTGATCCTGCCTGCACTCCCGGGCAGTTTGGTGATTTGGGCTTTGCACCTCACAGTCCTGCCAGCCTGGCAGGGCAGCTGTACCCACAGAGAGCGAGTTCCCCTGGGTTACACTGAGCTCCTGGAAAAATGATGCCGTCTTCTTGTGGCAAAGCAGAGTCCAGAACTGGGAACACACCATTAATGACACAAATAAAGGTTTTTCATGGGTCTTTCCATGCAAAATTTTGCCAGTGGCGTTTCAAGAGGGATTACGTTGACAGACAAAAAAGCAAATGGGTCCCTTTCTTGCAGCCATTGGCCTACCAGTACCATCAAGGATCTGGATTTGCTAGAAAAAGGAGCAGGTAAGGTGGTTTATCTACCTGAGAAGTTCCCAGTCTGTGGGATTCTGCTAAAAATGAAGCTGAAGACATGGCCTGTGCTAGCTGTGACTTGCAACCCCACAATCCTTTATGAGACCACAGGTTTGTGGATTGTGAAGCAGCTAGAATGCTCTCTGACAATTTCCAACTCTACAAAAAGAGGCACCAAAAATAATCTTTCTTACTTTTTGAAAACCTGACTTAGAAAGGCTTTGAATGACGAATAGGCACCTTGCTATTTCGCTATGCATAACCATTGTGTACAAACAGGTGAAAAGTGTACATAGTGTTTTAAAGTACAGGTGTCTCAAAGTGTGGAAGCACAGTTCTTGCTGGACTTGGGCAGGGAGAGAAATATGTGCATGATTATAAACCCACACGGGACTCCTATGAATTTTGCTTTCACTGAGGGTTTCCTGGTGAAAGAGGTTGGGAATTTCCCCCACAAGGTTTCCTCTTCTCGTATGTAAACACCTAATGCAAAGCAAGATGCTGTCTGTAGGTGATGAGACATCCTTTGTGTAACTGCAAAGAAACAGTATTAGTATTCTCATAAAATGCAATTACTGTCTAGGAGGAATACTCTGATGGCAACAGCAGCATTAGAAATCTTCACAGACAAAGGAACTAATTAATTCTGGTATCAAATAAGAAGTGTGGGTAGTTAATTATTTTAAACCCCATTTCACAGCTAGGTGTAGGAGCAAGTAGGACTGTGTATGTCAGTGATATTATAGAAAGAAAAATCAGATGACTGGTGTGATGCTAGACAACCAAGTGAACAGCAGAGGTGAGGACTTGGACATTATCAGATTCCAGTTTGATCTTGTGTTTATTAGGTCATACTAGATCTTGAAGACTACCTGAGTATTGGATATATTTTTGCCAGCCATTTCAACTGCATGTTATCTCCTTATGGTTTTTAATCATATCTTTTAAGACCAACATTTGTTGTCAAAAATTTTAACAATGTACAACAGGTTACATTTTAATGGGGAGCCCAAAGCAACCTGAGGTGTGTTTGCTCCTCCTCTTTCTAGTCTTATTGCTTCTGGTGCAAACCCTCACAGGATAAGGACACTGGGAATGTTAACACACACAAAATATTGTTGGGATTTTAACCACACCATCAAGAAAAAGTAGCTTATGACTTTGCCTGTGTTGGCATCTCTGAGAAGAGCTGCACTGGTATAGGAACCTGTGGGACAATTTCTCTGAAAGTACAGGAGGCAGGAGAGAAGAAAGGAAGGGTAGAGTCAGAACAATTGAAGCAGGTAGGCATCTCTGGAGATTGCCTAGTCCCAGCCCCCTTGATCAAATCAAAGCCACCTAGAGTAGGTTGTTCAGAGCATGTCCAGCCAAGTTTTGAATATCTGCAGGGATGGGGACCCCACAAGCTCTCTGGACAACCTGCTGCAGTGTTCAACCACCCCTACAGCAAGATAACCTTTTTCTTGTGTTTTAATGGAATAACCAGAATTTTAGTTTGTGCCTGTTGCCTCACCTTGTCACTGGGAACCACAAAGAGCCTGGCTCTATCTTACACTTCACATCAGATACTTACACCTATTGATCCCCTCCAAGCCTTCTCTTCTCCAGACTGAGCAGTCTCAGCTCTCTTAATGTCTCCTCATATGAGAGATGCTCCAACTTCTTAATCATGTGCATGGCCCTTTGCTGGACTTGCTCCAGTATGTTGCTATTTCTCTGGCGCTGGGGAGCTCAGCACTGGACCCAACAGTCCAGATGTGTCTCACCAGGGCTAAGCAGAGGGTAAGGATCACCTCCCTCAGCCTGCTGGAGACACTTTGCTCAATGCAGCCCAAGATGCATTTCAGAGAGGTACTCAGATGTGCTGATTTCCAAAACATGAGAATTTCCTCCACCATGCTGTTTTGTAAGTGCTTCTTTATTTGTGTGCGTACACTTGGGATGGGCACCTTTCAACCCTGTTTTTTGATCATGAGATTCCTCTTGTCCACATCACCCTGCAACCCTTGCTTGCCATCCTGTTCCTCCACCTACTTACTTGATTTCAGGTGATTGTCCCTCTCCCATAGAGCATCACCCCTTCAGCCCCAGCCTTAGCAATGGGCCCCAGACACCCCTTCAGCCCCAGGTCTGCAGAGCTGCCTCCTCCTTGGGAGCTCTGTCTGTGCTGGGGCTGTATTTCTGGCTGTGTTGGTTCTTTGCTCCATTTAGCGACGTGAAAGGTAGGAATGGGAATGCTTTGAACAAGTCCCAGGGGCTTCAGAACAGAAAGCGGAATATATCAGAGAAACAGAAAGTATCTGAGAAGAGAAGAGTTATCAGTATGAGAGACCACAAGCTGAGTGACTGAGAGTTGACATTCCTTCTATTTATTTATAAAATTTGTAACTGTGGAAATTAGCCTTAGAAGTTGTAGACCCATTACTGTTAGTTTTATCGTCCTTCTAAGACATACCCGGAGGCATTCCTGGAGATTGAATCCTATTGTACTTTGCAATAAGCCCATAATTGATTATGCTATGGAGCTTTAATATGGGTTGAGAAATGGAATCCAGAGTAAATACATTCAGAATTTTGCTAGCAGGCCAAATTTAAAGCTGGTTTTCTGAACCTACCAGGATTATTCCTTCTCAGCTAATGATTTAATTTGAACTAGCCACCCTGGGAGGTGCAGTCTGTAAGTCCAGGCTATCTGCTTGCTGGGCTTCTTTAAAGAAGTTTATACTCTCTACTTCACCTGTAAGGTTGTAAAGCTAAAATTAGGTTCAAATATTCTTCATTATAAGGCTTTTTAGGTCCTGCCTGGTGCTTCTCTCTGTAACGCTGTCAACAATGCCATCAGAGATAAATTTGCTAATTTGTTTCAATTCTGAAAAACAAAAATAAACAACAAAAAAAGTACATTACACTATATTCTCAAAAACAAGGAAAAACCAAGTTGGGGGTGGTGGTGGTAGTTCATCGTTATATTTCTCAGCTTGGAATATAGCCCGTGTACCTTCCTAGTCTTCATTAGATTTTTTTTTTTTCCAGTTCACGCGTTTGATTAAAATTTATTCTTCTAAAAGAAGCTTGTTCACTTTGCTCCTTAATGAGGGATGAGTTTCTGGTCTCTCCCTTCCATTACAAAAATTCTTCTTTCTTTTTCTCAGTTACTAAGGACCATATTACTTCCTTTGATATACAGGTGGCTCCTGCTGACTGTAGCTAATTCCATGGCTTAACGTGGGCTAACTTGTAGGTCTGGCATAAATTGAAACTTCTAAAGCTACATCATTTTCTATCTAGGAGGCATTCTAAACAAATAAATCTTGGATTTACTTTTTTTTCAAGCAAAGGAAATTTTGTTCAGAAGTGACAGAATTAGCACTGTTTTCTGACCGTTTAAAATCCTGGATTTGTTTCCGAACTTGAAATCTCTAAGGCAAAATTTGTTTGTGAGATTCAGTCTTTAGAATTGGTTTGGGGTAGGGTTTTTTGATTCACAATATAAATTTGTTTGAAAATACTTATGAAACCTTGTTATTGTCTGTGCACGGTCTTAAGAAAAAAAACAATTAGTTTCATATTTCCCAGATGGAAAAGAACGTCTCTCTCTGTGTCTCTTTTCTTTTCTTTCTCTCTTTTTCTCATCAATAATTACAAAAATTGAGTATATTCCCAGAACTACTAAACCACTGTGTCTGCTCCATTAAGAAGCAATTCACTATACCCAACATGCTAATTCCGTAAAATCTCCTTTTGCACATTCTTACCAAATTTGTTCATACTGTACTTTTTGTCTTCTATGTCCAGGTGAGGGGAACAAGCACAAACTAAAGAGGCAAAACTTCATCGTGTCAGACTGGAGAGATATGCAATGAGAGAGCAACTTCATGTCATGATTTGAGCTTTTCCTTACTCAGTGCCTCTGTAAAAGGACACGCGATATCTTTGGTGCATAATGCTTGCAGATGCACATAGCTCAAAATGCAACAATAGATTTATACAGGAAGACAAGGCATAGGACATGAGGAGCGCAGAAACAGAAAATCCTTAACATAAGCTTCTTTAGCAAGCATAGCAGTATTACCTTTGAATCAAGCTTTGGATCCATTGGCAATTTAAATTGAAAGAAAAGTGAATACTTGGTAAATTTTGCGAGAAAGACCTGCTCCTCCTAACACCAAACACAGTTAAACTATGGAAATGCACACCTAGTGTTATGTAATAAAGTTAAGCTTTAATGATATCCTTTCTGAATTTTTATCTGCATTTTCATTGCCCCAGGGAGACCTTGCATGCAAACTGCCTAATTTTTTTGCTCTGGCACTGGGAGGTTCCTAACTCTGCAGACAAGAGCCCTCTGCAAAGCTTTGCCATACAAAAAACATTTTTCCTATCTGAAAAAAAAACACCTAGAGCTATTTCAGACAGGAGGGGATCATACGATCATTAAAACCCAAGGTTTTCCTCAGAATTAAGGGAGTTTCTGTCTCTGCTGCAATGGAGGCTTGACTGCAGAGATTCTAGGAGAAAATGTTGACTGGTGTGAGCAAATGTATATCAAAATGCAAAATCATTGCTGTCTGTTTTACATGAATGAAGAACTGGGATTTGGAGGGCAGAGCCTAGCAACATTGCTCCTTGTACGTCCTTGGATGGAGTGACAAAACGCTGCACAAAATGAGGCACCGGTGATGTGTGACTGGGCTGAGCTCCACCTGAGACAGGACCTCCCCAGGCAGGGCACGTCTCTCCTGGCCTGCTACACACAGACCCATTTTTGCTTTCCAAAGAGTCTCAATACAATCCCCTGCAGTGATTTTGTTACTTGACTTTGTCGATGCCTAAGTGGAACATATTCCCATTTCCCCATTGTCTTTGCAGAGAGGAGAAAAGCAATGCCTCCAGCAATTCGTGTCTTGTCATCTTGCTTGTCTGGGGCATTGATTTCCTACCCTGCAACAGCCCACACAGGGGCAAGAAACTATTGATAAGCTGGTAGATGGTACTACTCTACCCTGTGTGAAGCTCTGTTGGGAAAGGAATTATGCACTTCATTCATAAGAGAGGAGCAGCAATGTATTTATTGATGAAAATATTGATGAAAATTAGTAGGGCTTAATCATGAATGAGATAGACTTAACAAAGTCCTAATGGTAAATGTAACATTAACTAGATTCGTGATGGCAAAGTACCTTGATTATTTACTGTTTAGAGGACAAGGTCAGACTAAAAGTATCAGTGAGACCCTCACATTCAGTTACAAGGTTCAGAAGAGTCCCTTTTGCTGTCCATACTCTGAGGAGCCTAAATACAACCAGATCCTATCCCAGTCCCAAACTTACTGGTTTGCACTTCAAGGATTATATACACAATCCTTTATATCAGTTAGGATTACAAAATTTCAGCATGGTTAGCAAATTACTTGTGGTTTCAACAAGACCATGATTAGTCACTTACCAAGTATCTGTCATAGGTAAGGAGTCTCTTGACCTTGAGGAGTAACCCTGAGAGGCATCTCTGCTCAAGGAGAAGATCCTGGCACACAACCCACTGCAAAGAGCTCACTGGGCTCCGGGCTGTCCCCTATTTATGGAGTAGGATGACTGACAACCAGTCATATTTGCACACCAGCCATATGTGCTCTGTTAGCCCTTCAATGTATCTCCCCCAAATCCGCCTTGAGCCCAGTTCAGCTGTCACAGCTGGATGCTTTCATCATGACTGCCACTGATGGTTATCACCTGAGCAGGGATGCAGGTCAGGTTGGGTGGGAGCAGGGGGAGTACACCCACAAGCTCTAAGTCTCATACACCAGAGGCTGTAAGCACACACACACACACACACACACACAGTTACATATGTGTATATATTAATGTTTGTGTTTAAAATGCACAAAATTGGAAAGGTAGTTTGTATCCTCTGCTGCTTGATTATCTTTTTATGTGCGTCTCCAAAGAAGCTTAATAATGTTCTTTCTACCAGCATCAAAGAGGATCTTCCTTGCTTCTGAAGGAGAGGACTTACTGCTAAGAATTTTGATTCTTGCTCTCATTTGTAACCTGGATTATTCACCCCCACTCCTGCCCTTATTTGTTTGAAGTGGGAAACCAGCACCGTCTGACGAAAAAGCCTGTTTTAGACGGATATCTTTTCAACCTTCATATATCTCATTGTAATTCATCAGTAAATTTACGAGGTCTTTATTAAGACAGGCCAGATTTATTTTTCATTTGTGCTAAATTGTTTATGCCCTTTTAAAAGTGCACTGTATCCTCAGCATTGGGCTTTCGGTTATCTGCCTGACAATGATGGAGTGTTATGTTCTAACAAGTGCGTTAAGATCTTGTCCTGTTGCATATTCTGTGCTGTTTGTGAAATGACTGTAATAAGGAGAGACAGACAGACATGGATTGGATCAGGTGTACACTTATACTAATTTTTGGTAAATGGCTCAGACCAGACCAGATTGGTGGTGACCAGTGACTGCTGGCTTTACCCAGCCAAACAGCCTCCCTTCCTAAAGAATTTCCCTCATGCTTAGGCAATTAAATCAGGGCCATATTTACAAAAGGACTCATTGGCAGTGTGCAAAGAGTGCCCATGAAGCTCTGCTTTCTCACTTTGGTGTCTGGGTGACAGCTCTGATTCACCCAGTGAAAGGGTTGCTACCAGTTGTATTTCCAGCAAAGTAATACCACAGGTAGCTTCTAATTGGTATTCAGTCTGAAGCAAATTTGCTCATGTTAAGCATTCTGGGCAGGTTCCTGGGCTTGTGCTTTCTGGCTAGCCTCTGGCTATCCAGGGAATCACATAGGTACCTTGCATGTGTGCTGCAGCTTTTCCGAGGGAATTTGTCAGAGTAATTAACAAAAGCCTCCGTCTGCCTATATTAGTAGGATCTGTGCCTCTCCGTGTCTCTCTTGGTTGATGAAAAATCACTCATCATGGAGGCTAGCAGCCTCAGCAAAGAGGTCAGAGCCTGGCTAGGCATGAGGTCTAGAATATGTCATCCTGGATGGGAAGAGATGGTTGCAGCCTAACTCTGCCCACATTTGAAGCACGATCCAGCCATGGCATGTGAGCTCCTCAGGAATGGGCAGGGCTGTATCCAAGCCCTCAAGTCATGAGAGGCATCATGCTGCACAAGTGGGAAAAACCAAACCTATCATGTCCTGGTGATGTGAGCCCTCCAGATGGTGCTCATGAATATTTCCTCCTTTGGGAAGAACAGGGAAACTTCTGTTCCTAAGGGGACTTCCTCCATGTCTTCCTCAGGAAAACGAGCCCTTGAACTCAGTGACAAGGATAAGTCTATCGGAGAGGAGAGGAGAGGAGAGGAGAGGAGAGGAGAGGAGAGGAGAGGAGAGGAGAGGAGAGGAGAGGAGAGGAGAGGAGAGGAGAGGAGAGGAGAGGAGAGGAGAGGAGGAGAGGAGAGGAGAGGAGAGGAGAGGAGAGGAGAGGAGAGGAGAGGAGAGGAGAGGAGAGGAGAGGAGAGGAGAGGACTATACACTAGGGCCTTATGGCCACCTGAAGTACTCAACCTAGTTGGTCTTGATGGATAGATCTGATTTAAAACAACAGAATAAGTGCTGTTGATGTTTTTCTTCCTCTTTTTTTTTTTTTTTGTTTTGTTTTGTTTTTAAGAAAAAAAAAAAAAGCTCCCAAGAACTATTCTGAATCTTTTCTCCATGCTAATGAAAGCAGCCTTGGGATTTTTTCTCACCCAGTTCCACACTTTGCCTTGTAATCATATTATAGAGCAGCACAGCATGGAGAAGTAGAAGCAATGTCACTATGTGAAGAATGCAAAGGGAGGGTACCACAAACTGGAAGATGTCTATCATATCAAGTCATTGCCATGGAGGGAAAAGCGAGGCACACTAATTTAAGAAAACAGTAGATGTGATTTCCTGCTCCAGTAGAATGTTTTTTGCAGCATACACTCTATTAATTTCAGGAAAGTTGTTTTTGATTTACAGAGAGAGAGGATGAGAAGAGTGGAGGCCATTGTGTTTAAACTCACCTGACCACAACCTCTGATAAAAATTTTGCAGGACTTTGGACTCTGGTCTTTGGTTTCCACTATGATGTCTCACTAATAGTTACTTCTCTGAGGTACCAATAAAGCAGTCTATGCTATTTAGCTTTTGCTTTGCCCATCGTATTCTTAAATACATGTCTAAGAAGCAGCATGCTGGCAATGCCTTTGGTGTAGATAAAGTTGTAAAGAGGTGTGTAAGTCTGAGAAACCAAGTGGGTCTGTTGCTGATCACTGTAGCTGCTCAGACAGATTTGGACTTACTAGGAGAAGAAGGGGGAGATGTAGAAATGAGATGTCTAACGTGCCATAGGACAGGTTGGGTGATGCCTTCAAGCAAGTATCGGTACCTTTATTAGAGCTGTTAATAGCATCTCTTACTCTCCTTGCAAGACTAGCAAATAAGGCCACTAGTCAGATACTAATTTCAGTGATAGATTTTGTCTTTTTATTTGCTAGTTGTCATTTGACCTGGACATGCACCAAAAAAAGCCTGCCTGGCCAGCTGAGAAGAAGACATGCATACCCAGATGACTTTACCTAGGCCCATTTTAAACAGTCTGTGCTGTTTGTGATGTTGCAGATGGAGAGAGTTGGGGCTATCCTGCCTTCTCAGCTCATGTCCAAACTATGGAAGGAAAACAGCAGCAGAAGTAGGGGTCTCTTCCAAGACACTGGCCAGAGCTCCAACCTTTCATAACCATCAGTCTGGTGGAGAGTTAATGCCAGCTTGTGATTACTTAAGCTATCGTATTTATGGCAAAGTGACATATGAAGCAATGCTTGACACCTCCCAGTTTGTCAGTGAGATAGCTGAGATCCTTAAAAGCTCCATCAGCTAAGCTGCAGAGTCATCATCCTCATTCCGATTACCCGTGGAGAGCTGGGGTGGGTAGGTGACGCACTAGAGAAGACACCTTGTGTCTTATCACGTCGTAGTTTGGAAACTCTGTGCTTAAGCTGCCTTCGCAGAACTTCACGTGGTGAGAACGTAATTGAATAATCTGGTTCCAGGGCAAATTTGAAAATTAAGCAGGGACTGGAGGGAGTGGCCCCTATGGAAACCACGTCAGTGAACAAACAGCATCGGAGGGTTTCTGTGGTGTTTGGATAAGGAGGATAATGTTTGCTTGGTTCTTGTGGGCTTTAACTGGCTGTCATCCTTGTACAGAAAGGCAACAAAAACTAATTCAAAGAAACTGAAACCAAACAGAGGTGTGATAAGTCATTTGGAATTTGAAATTCAGGTAATATGGTGCTGTCGTGATAGGATACATCACGTCACATGGGAGATTTCTCTCTGTTATTGGAGCAGTATAGTTTTTAGAAGATAATTTCCATTGCAGACACTTTTATTTGCTTATTGAGAGCTCAATGTTGGAAATGAAGTACGTTAAAAATGAGCAAAAGTAGCAGATTCTTATTCTAAGATTTCTTTTTAAACTTCTTTTTAACTCAAGCCACTAGCAAAGCCTTGAGGTCTGCTGAGCTGATTCTATTGAAAGAAGTAACGACAGTTTCTTCCTGAATGCAGTTCTTTTAGTTTAGAAGGACTGACCAAAAAACAGTCTGCTTGTTCCCAAGGGGAGTCACACACACGGTCAGTAGGTCTCTTTCCCAAACCTCCAGGCCCTTTTCAGACCCTAAACGCTTGTTCTCTCAAATCTTTCCCAGGGTGCTGCACTCAGCAGTTCTGAATCCACCTCTGAGGTTTTATTTCTGCTTCTTTTTGTTGATTTTTTTTCCCTGTATTTGTACTTTTTTTTTTTTTAATTCTCCTTTACATTTTTGTATCTACAGACACAGAGCCCTCTGTTAAAGCTAAATCTAGCAAGCCTCATCCTTCCACGCTATACACTTTCCTTAGGAGCTTCACACATGTCTTCATCCCAGCCTTGATATGAACCCATGTTTTGGCTGGAGGGTGCTATTGCTTCAGCAAGCTAATTTCATGGAAGAGTTTATGGCTTCTCACAATTACCTTAAATGAAGAGTAGATGTTTCACCCAAATATGTTTAATCCAGTATGAATGCCATTACAAGTTTGAATATGCTTTTTGATACTTAAACTGTGAGTTAAAAATGGAGACTATCTGTAATTCTTTGGAAGTGCAGTGTCTGCAACAGAGGGGCCTTAGTCCCACATCAGGTACTTGGGTGCTGTTTGTACCTCTGTGTGATAACAAATGGTGGTAACACAGTGAAAAAAAGGTTTTTCAGAGGTGAGACAAGAACCCACAGCCCTTGCAAAGGAGAAAGCATTTGTGTCTGGTTCTTCATGCTTGTCCTCCATGGATCTGAATTCAGAAGGCAGACGGGAAAATGTCAAAAATTCCCAACAGAGAAAATCTTACGGGAGGAAGGGCAAAATGTTAAGGAGGCAGCATGAGAAGTTTCACAGCAGCAGCCCGCACTTCCACCCAGGCAACCTCGAAGGCTGTCCCCCACCCCAAAATTTAATTGCATCTTCTCCTGGTCCTTCTCGAGCAGATCATTAGCAGCACCATTCTGCATGTGCCTGGCTGTGCGTCACTGAGCTACCGTGAGCATTTTCCAGGATTAACTTAGCTCTGCTCCTCAATTGGTTTCAATGGGTTTAGCAAGCCTTTTTTTAGCCAG